CACCAGGCTCGTGATAAACCATGAGACTCCATGGTTATTAAACGCAGTGGACTCAGGTGAGTCGCATGTCAATGCAATGAGTTCTAAAACACTGTTGTACACAAATCAGAGTTTGTTTAGGATACGGCAACTCAGAATGCATCCAGTATTCCCTGGGGGAGAATGTCACCTCCCTACCTACGAACTTTAAGTAGCAGTCAGCATGTCACCATTACAAAGAGTAGAGGAGGGCTAAGAACCTGAACCTGTCCCACTGGCTTGCCCAAATCTACTGCCCAAGAAGTGGTGGCTTGCAAAAGCCCAGATGAGGCTGTGACCTCAAGAGCCGCTCAAAAAGTCTTGAGTATCACATGGTACAACTCTCGTGTCGCTGCTACAAGCACAGTAGAATAAAATCCTACAAAACTCTCCCTCTGATCCATGTAGCAGCAGCAAGGAGTTCCAAGGATGACTACCTTTCTGGGCTATATTAGTCGGATCGTGGGTCTCCAAAAATATTTTGGTGCCATCCACAGGATTAGACAAAACCATGCTTTTCTCTTCAAGTGGAGACAGATTGATTACTTTCCTCGGTTGCAAGCAAATGTATATTTCAGAGGGCATGAGTTAACCCTTTCATATCTTTACTAGAAACATAACGGCAATTAAAAATGACCTCTGGGAAAAGTAGCAGCACTTACCTAGTTTCGTACTTTCATCAGGTAGAAAAAAAGAGCACCAAGAATTAACTGGGACCACCAAAATGGATAACCGCAAAGCCCCCATAAGATTGAGTCTCACAAGCACTGAAACTGAGTCACCAAGTTGACTGATTTCCAAGCAAATTCTAGTTTTGTCTGTTATGACAATTCAACCCAACTAGCCTGACAGAACTCAAAGTTCAAGTTTCAGTGCAATATGATTATAAGAAATGCAGGAGTGTACATACATATATACATACATGCATATATTGATACATATGCATACATACACATACATTCATATACATATGTATGTATGCATGTATGTGAGTATGTAAGTTTGTCTGCATGCACGTATATATATGTGCATATGTTTGTATGCTACACAAATGATATATGCATTCATAACATGTGAATGTTATTCATTTACAAAGATTCACTGACACATATAGTGAAGAGTCGAGTCTGTTAAGATGCATCACCATTTTGTACAAAAATTACCCTCAACCCTTTTTTATCAAAATCACTTTCCAATTGACATGTTTTTTATCTTTTTGAAAAGAAAAAGGAAAGCTACCATGCAAAGCCATGGGCATGTGGAGGGATGACACATAATTACATGTATTTAGTGCCTCGCTAATGTTTCCCAAAACATATGGATAGATTTGTGAGGTGTCTTTATTGCTGGCATATCCAAGCCATATCCCTGCCCAAAAATGTTTTGCATCAAAAGTTTTGGGCATGTCAACAGCAATCATATCATAAGACATATGTTTGCTCATTTACTATAACAATGACAAAATGCTGCTTAAATCTGGAATTGTTGTAGTCACATTAACCCTAATGAAGCACTACAAGCATGTCAAAGCAACTGCCAAAACAACATCTACCCTCACTTTATCCGATATTTTTGTCATTGACCTTGGAAATTGAGCAAATCTGGAATTGTGGTAGTCACATTAACCCTAATGAAGCATTACAAGCATGTCAAAGCTAATGCCAAAACAACATCTACCCTCCAATGTTTTTGTCATTGACCTTGGGAATTGAGTAAAACTTGGCCTCCCAAAAAATGTTTATAATAGCCCAAAGGCAATTCAATACAATTTTACGGCACCACACATCAATGGGCTAGCATCATGTGTTGACACTTGGACATGTATCAATACAGGCTGACACCACATTATTGATAAATATGATTTTATTGTAGATTTTTTCCCTACACAAACTGGGCTTCCTTAATTTAATTTTCTATTTTTTCCTCAGTTAATTAGATGAGAATAAAGCCTTTTAAGTCTGTATGAGTTAGGCTTGAAGCAATTTGAGGTAGCTTTAAGCTATTTAGAACTTTTTTTCTCTTGCCCATTCCAATTTCTATATAATATTTCTAAATCCAGACAGAATCTCCACAAATTCAAAATCTTTCTAATTACTTATCCAAACAGATAATCTCCAAGAACTCGAATTTTAGAGCCTTTTTCAATGAAACCTTTGTTTTTTGTTTTTTGTTTTTTATTCTTTGTACTTCTATTTTAATAATGAATTTTTTTCCTTAATGACCAAGAAAAATAATACTTTATCCATGTAAAAGGAAAAAAATCAATCTAATAATTTGAACTTTATCCAAATCTTTTTGAATCCTCTCCAAACTTCTATCGGGATACCATCTAGTCCTAAAGCCTTTCCTATCTTCATCCTTTTCAAACCCTCTTTCACTTCTGACATCCTAATCCTACGAATGTATCTATGACCTCCGCTGTCACTTGTACAATAGACTCTCCATCTTTCGTTGACCTCAGCATCCTTTACTAAGACCCTTTGATCCTCACTCTTAATTTATTTAATATGGTTTGGATCCCTACACTTTTTCTCTCTTATTTTTGCTACTTTGAAAATATTTTATTCACCTTTTCTTGTTCCCAATTTATTGTATAGATTATCATATGCCTTAAGTTTAGCTTTACTTACTATTTGTTTAGCATTTTTCTTAGCATTTTTATATTCTTCTAAGTTTGATCGTTTCTATTACACTGCCACGTATTATAACATGATCGTTGTTCACTAATGGCCTTCTCAACCTCATCATTCCACCACGAAGTTTCCTTATCGAAGTTTCGTTTCCCTCTAGAATCTCCTAAAACTTCTTTTGCCACTTTCTTGATATATTCAGCCATCTCATTCCATATTACATTGACATCATGTTTAAAGTTCTATTTTCCTTCTTCAACTAATTTATCCCTAAATAAGTCGATTTTCTCATTTTATAAATTCCACCACCTAGTTCTTGGATGTCCATTACTTTCACCCCTTCTCCTCCATTTCTTTATGCAAATGTCCATGACCACGAGCCTATGTTGGGTAGTCAAACTCTATCATGGGATAACCTTGCAGTCTTTACACGATGATCGATCTAACTTCTTAACTAGGAAGAGGTCTATCTGGCTTTTATGTGTTCCACTTTGTAGGTTATTAGATGTTCATCGCACTTTTGAAGTAAGTGTTTGCTATTGCAAGGTCGTAGACCATAGCAAAATCTAGAATAGTCTCACCCATCTCATTTCTTCCCCAAACCCATATCCCCCACGTACCTCTTCATATCCTCTACTATCTTTCCCTACATGACCATTTAGGTCTCCACCTAAAAAGGTTCTCTCTCCATTTGGTATGTCTTGGACTATTTCATCTATGTCCTCCCAAAATTGTCTCTTAATTCTATCATCTAATCCAACTAGTGCATAAGCGATAATTACATTAATTATCTCTTCTCCTAATACAAGTTTAATTAATAGGAGCCTATCGCTTATTCTTTTGACATTAACTACTTTATCTTTTAAATCTTTATCTACTGTTATGCCTACGCCATTTCTATTATTATCCTTTCTTGTATACCATAGTTTATACCCATCTATTTTTTTAGCTTTTTCTCCATTCCATTTAGTATCTTGTAGAAAAGCTATGTTTACTCTCATTCGTCTCATTGTATCCACTAACTCCATACTCTTACCTGTAAGTGTTCCTACATTGGTTAGACGAATCCTATGCTCTTGGACTAACTTCTTTACCCGCGCTCGTCTAGGGTGTCACGGGAACCCTTGCCTATTTTTCACCGCAACCAGACGGCTCTGCGGCGCGTCACTTTTAGGGAATGTCATAGCTACCCCTTGCTCATTTCTCACTATACTCAGATTCCGGTACAACGCGTCTCTTAGCATAAGCAGATACTATAAGTTTATCGAGATTCATGATGGGCTTTGACAAAAATTTTACATTGGCTGCCTAGCTAACACAACCATGCCCCTTTACCTGGGGTATGGGATGGGTTACGGGAAAGTTTAAGGTCATCACCCTTCTTAGACCATCTCCAAAGTTTATCTAAATCCTTTATCCTCTTTGTACAGTGTCTCACCTCATCTAAACTTTATAATTCTCTCTCTGGTTAAAGAAAGGAAAAAAAAAAGACAACCATCTTGTATACACAATAAAGAGGAAAGACACATGAGATAATTGATGGATTGACCAAAAACTATTCCACCTATTCATAAGTTGTATATTTTCCATGTTGTTCTGCATTTTTCTTTTCCTTAATAAAATTTTAAGAGTCATATAAATCACTATTATGATGACATTCATGTATGGACATGCCAATCACCTCATGTTCAAAACACAGATCAAAGTGCTTACACATGTCAGACACCAACACACATGGTGGTGGTGTCCATGCAATTCTGATTCTATGCCCAAAAATAAGGAATTTATGACATTAACACCGTTCATAGAAGATGAAATACACATACAAAACATAAATAGATACATACATAAATGCATACACAAATACCAAGCATGCATCCATAAATACACACATATTTTACACATAGATATGCATACCACACTTAAATCCACAAGAGTGAAATTTCACAAGAAATATATAGATGTTGATAATCACAAGAAAGATCCAAACCAGAGTTGTTCATTGGCAAAAGAGACAGAAACGAAAGAAAAGAACACTTGCCAAAATGCACAAGTCCTTTGCGAGAAAATCTTATTTATCCAAGTCTCTAAGAAATGTAAATTGGTCTATTTGGCTTATTTCAATCGTGACATCAACTGTACTACCAATAACTAAATTCATTAGAAACACCAAATAGGCATCATGTACCTTCGATATCCACTGGAAATTATATTATGGGCATGTTCATAATATCAACATGACTTGAACCTTCAATCATGTTGGAAAACACATAAAGCAAGTGATTTGATGCATAAAATTGATTTTTTCATTACGCCATATTAAATTTCATGAGGATTATAAAAAATTATTACCTTAAGGGCCATCCCAATGATTGCCAGAGGAAACCCATACGTCAACATTAATGCAGACCACTCCGAACCAGGGAGAATGTTAAAATATGCCCCAAAGCCATATCTGATGTAAAGAAAATGGGTGAAAATACTAAAAACAAAAGACAGCAATATTAGCAAATGAATTGGTGAATTGGGGAAAACATACGAGAGAAGTGTACAGCCAACTCCTAGCCCAATTACACCAAATGAGACCTGAAATATGGTACAAGAGTTACTTAGCATACATATATATATACATACATACATACATACATACATACATACAACACACATACATCATAGTTCCACTTAAACCAACTCGCACGTCCTAATAGATGTTGTATTGGGTCTGTGCTGCATATGGCCAGCCCACTTAAGTCTACTTTCTCTCGTCTTATCGCCTATTAGAGTCACATCTAAGTTCTCCTAAATGAATTCATTTCAAATTCTATCCCTTCCTGTCTTATCACTCATGCATCTCAACTTGCCCTTCAGCTTTATTGGTATGCGATGATCACAAAAAACTTCTGTTGCACATCTTCACTTCGTTTGCCCAACTCTAATTCTATGTGCGACGTCATCCTCAATCTCTCTATTTTCCTGGATTATCGACTCAAGATATTGAAAATAAAAGAGCTCATTCTTGGTCGTCAATGCTAACTACTCCCTCGCCTCTACTCCTATTATTACTAAACTTACATTCTATATACTCTGTCTTAGTCCAGCTAATTTTATAGCCTTTAAATTCTAGAGCATCCCTCTAAAGTTATAACTTTGTGTTGATGCCGCTTCGGGTCTCATCCATCAAAACTTTGTCGTCTGCGAACAATATACGCTATAGTGCCTCATCTTATAGATGCCTAATTAAGTCGTCCATAACTAAAACAAAAAGATATAGGCTCAACGTAGACACCTAATGTAGACCTATTGTCAATGAAAACTCACTCATCTCTCTACTAGTTGTTCGCACACTAGTTAGCACTCCCTGGTACACATCTCTTACCAAGTTGATATAGTATCTAGAGACTCTTTCCTTTTCCAACACCCAACAAGTTAAATCTCGAGGTACTTTATCATAAGCTTTCTCTAAATCAATAGAGACCATGTGGAGGTCTTTTATGTCCGCCCTAAGCTTCTCAATCAGTTGTTTAAATAGGAAAATAGCTTTAATTGTTGACCTCCCTAACATAAAACTGAATTGTTTTTCTGATACACTTGTTTCATGCCTTAGTCATAGCGCAATTACCCTCTCCACAGCTTCATAGTATGGCTCATAAGTTTGATCCTTCGATAGTTCGCATAATTTTGTATGTCGTCGTTGTATAGTAAATAGGTGCAACAATACGTTTCCTCGATTTGTCTAGTATTTTCTTTGTTTTCAACACCTTGTTGAACAACTTGATCAACCAATCAATGCCAATCTCCCCCATGCACTTCCAAACCTCTATCAAAATACCATATGTCCTAAAGCCTTTCCTAACTTCATCATCTTTAAAGCTTCTTTCACTTTCAATATCCTAATCCTATAAATGTATCTAGGACCTCCGCCCTTATTTATGCCAACGGTTCCTTCTACCGCTGTGTTTCCATTGTGTTCATCATTTAATAATTTTATTAAATAAACTCTCCACCTTTCGTTGATCTTTTCATCCTTCACCAAGACCCTTTAATCCCCCTTCTTAAAGCATTTAATATAGTCTGGATCCCTACACCATGCACATATATATATATATATATGACTCTTAGGAATATCCCACGAGCAAGAGATGCTCTTAGCATCGAGCTTATGTCTCCTCTCTGAAGTTACGTGTACATAAGCCTGACATCCCCATAGAATATGGAGGCCGGCAGTCTTTTTTTTTTAAAGAATAGAGAGAAACGAACCGAGCAGTGGTGTGGAGACACATTATGTAGACTGAACAAGCCCGTCAGTCAAGGCGCATTTCCATGGATCTAGACTAACGAGCATGGAATGAGTGAGGCAGTCTCGTATAAGTCTGAGGGTACAGGGAGGCAAGGAGGCCGGCGGTTTCTTTTTTTTATAGAATAGAGAGAAACGAACCAAGCAATGGTGTGGAGACACATTATGTAGATTGAACAAGCCCGTCAGTCAAGGCGCGTTTTCGTGGATCTAAACTAACGAGCATAGAATGAGTGAGGCGGTCTAGTATAAGTCCAAGGGTACAGGGAGGCAAGGCTGGATTGAAAAGGAGAAAAAATATAGCTTGTTCAAAACCCACTGAAAGACCGTAAGAATTTTCTTCAAGTGTAATCACATGGCACCAACTTTGAACTTATATAGGCATATAAAATGGCATACTAATTGAAAATGATCAAGCATTGGTACAAGGGATGAGATTTTCAATACGTGATTTTATCTTATCGGTTATGAACTTACGAATAAAAATTTCAAACTCACAACTCCCAAGAAGATTATTGATGCTAAACTTAAGAGAGGGATACGGAGAAATGAAAATAGTGATCTAGTGTGAGCAGCTGCATGTGTAGCTCTAGATCCTTTCCTTGTAACACTCTTAAGCCTCAAATGACTTGGGATCATCCCATCATTATCTAACCGTTCTTTTCTTTTTAGTTTTTTTCACTGAGCTAGTGAGGGGTTTCAGCAAGCACCCAACCCTTAATGTTGGAAATGAGTACAAGGTGTAATTACAAAGAAAAGAGAAAAACAAAGACCCCTCCATGTACAAAGGTCCTCCCTATATAAACTCCAGAAATTGCACAATCCTTGAGAGCTCAATTTCCCATCTTATATAAGTGGCTCTTTCACTTTCATCCTTGACTGGGACAAACATACTTTTCGAAATGCTGTTCTTGATTTACCAAATTAGCCCCCTCAAAACCCTTTGGAAGGATAACCTTTGATCTTCTTTGGCTCTCTAATTTCTTTCTTACCAAATTATTCATATGGTGGTGGGAAGTGAGACTTTCCAAATCTTAGCAAGGAGGTCATTATGAATTTCCTTTTGAACCAATTTGTTAGGATGGTAGCGATACTTGACCTTGTTATAGCACATGCATTGAACCTCGACAAGATCGCTTTGTATATGTCTCTTAAAAATTTGCATGAAATAATAAAGGTGGTTATGCCTTGCATTTTCGTCTTTATAGAAGTGGCAAATATTACCCAATCGGAGTCCCTATCTTTGCACACTATTGTTTGTAACTAGCCTCTTTGGTAGGCTAACCATGATGTCAATCGTTTTTTTTTGTTCCATATGGCCATTAGGATATTGTTCTTCACCCCTTTTTCTCTTATCATTTCAAGAGGACTTTAGGATGTGAACCTCCATTATTATCGAATCCGAATGAGTCTTTCACCACCTAAGGTCCGATTACGACGTCTCAATATAAGTGTGAAGGTTTCATGTATACCTTTCCATGCCCAAGAGTCTAGTGTCTTTAGGAACCCATATGTAACATCTCCAAAGTTACTTAATTTCTTATCAAATCCAACCACATTGAGTGTGTTTCATTTGCCAATTCCCATTCAAGTTTAGCTAGTAGAGACATGTTAATGTCTTCAATGATTTTGATACCAAGGCGACCTTCGCCCTTAGATTTACAAATAGTGCTCCATTCAACAAGGTTTGCATGTCTTTGATATTTTTGGTTTCCCCAAAGGAGGTTCCTTTGTAGCTTCCCTAGGATGTTTACGGTGGTTGAGGGCAGCATCAAAATAAAGCACCAATGATTTGTGATTGAAGTGAGACATTAGTTGATGAGGGTCTTCTAGGATGGGATAGGATTTCTTGGTCCAAACCTTTAAGTTTGGTATGGTTTTCTCTAGCAAAGGTTAGGGATGAGTTTCTCTCGAAATAATTGGAAACCTAGATATGTGGATGGAATTTTTGATAGGTTGCAGTTTAGGAACTGGTTAATTTGGGCTTTCCCAAAATTGAAGGAGTTAAAGAAGAATATGTTTGTTTTAGTGGAGTTTTTTTCTAAGCCTGTGAGGGACTAGTAGCAGTATAGAGTGCGTTTAGGGAATGGTAGGATTGATGATTATTATTCCCAGAAAAGAGAAGGTCATCAGCATATAATAGTTGGGAAGGAGCAGATGGAACTAGGAATGTTAGGTGGTTGGAATCTCCTTTCTAGGACCTTTTTTATAAATTATGTTGTTGAGATATTCCATGGCTATGAGGAGGAGGTATGGGGATAGTGGATCTCCTTGCCTAAGACCACTTTTACTTTCAAAATATCTAAAACAGGTACCATTGAAAACCCACAAAATACCTAAGTTAGTGATACACATTTTTATCCAATTAAAGAATTCCTTTTCAAATCCATACCTCTAAAGTTTATTTATCAGGAATTGTCAATTAACACTATCAAAGCCTTGTGAAGGTTGATTTTAGGCAAAAGGTACTCTTTTGTTGTTTTTGGCCATGCTAAGGATGAGTTTGTGGGCAAGCAAAGCTTACTTAAGATACTTTTATTTTCGCAGAAAGTTCCTCGAATAGGGTTGATGATCCGAATGAGAACATATTTCAGCCTATCAGCAATGATTTTGCTAATCACCTTGTCGATGTCATTGTAGAGGCTAATAGGTCTAAACTCGGTCATAGAGGGACTACATTGAATAAGGTTGAGTTGAAGGGTTGCATGATGAATTGTCTCTTGAAAGTGTCTTTTATTTTATAGGCCTGCTATATGCCAAAACTTTTGGAAGAATTGGGGAGGGAAACCAACTGGTTCAAGTGACTTATTGGACTTATTTGGACTAAGACTCATGAGGTTGGTTTTGATTTCTGCAGAAGTCACTTTCCTTTGAAGGAACATGTTTGCCTAACTGCAAGGTGAACTAAACTAAAGGTTTCCAAGTTCCACCTTTTTAGGATTTTTTTTATGTTTTGTAGGTTTTATTTGAACCCTAATATTGCACAGCCTTTTATTATTTCACCCAACAATTTTTTATGATATCCTCACAGTCTTTGTGTTTAAAACACATGTTGAAGAATTTAAAGGGGACCCCAATCTATGATTTGGTCAATATGAAAGAATATCCAAATTCAATTTTCTCATCGCATGGTAAAAGGAGATAGATTCCAAAGGTCATGGAAGTGCAGGTTTGGATGTTTGAGCAAGTGTTGGTTAACAATATCAGGGGGAAGAGAAGAAGAATTTCCCTAAATTGTGAACAGCTAAATAGAAACTACAGATTTGTGTATCAGTGCTTATCAAACTGACTTGTGCCCTTTTGTCAGATTTGATCAGGACCCTAGCCCCGCTGTCTATCACAATTAGAAGAAACACAACACACATTCCTTCATATAATTGGTAGTACACCAAATCTCATTAGAGAACTTGTCCAAAAAGTGAATACCCTCAATTTGTCAGCTCATACACTAGTTGCATACATTGGCTGTTAACTATGATCAAACATTTCACACAAAGAGATGCATGGTTAGTTGTCACAGTTCAAATTTTCTCAGTAAAACTTTGCATTAGCCATTAACAAGGATGTAATTAATCCCAAGAGCCCAATCAACGCTCAACTGATAAAATCAGCACTAGACAAGAACTGACACTCGCAGAATACCATCAATTTTCAAAATAAAATATTAAGAAGATAAACAGTAAGAGAAAGATGGTGATAATCAAAAGCATTGGATCCTAACATATCCCAGAAATTCCCAGCCACACACAACAGGGGGGACAGAATTAACCCAGCATATCTTCCAAAACCACTTAGAAGATGAGAAATGGTCGTGCAGACCTTGGCAAGGGAAAACTCAGTATCAGAAACGAAGGTCGCATCGTTTTGGAGAGATGAGGAGGGGGAAGAAGTGGTTGTGGGCTCGGCAGCCGAGCCCAGCAGCAGATTGACGCGCGGCTTCTTCTCCTTAGTGGAGGAGAGAGAAAAAGAGTGGCGCCGGGAGAGTGAAAATGTGGTGATAGAAGGGAAGGAGGCGGAGAGAGAAAGAGGATGAGGGTACGATTGTGAATGGGGAGCCACACCAATTGCTGCACCTCTTCCAGTGGCCATGCTTCTCTTGCCACGCCCTCTGCCTCCTTTCCTCTTTTGTCAACTTCACCATCCAAGTCGTTGGCGGGGACGCTTATCTCCCTTCCGCGACTATGAAAATTCTTTCATGCGGGCTGGACCGCATTTCTACATATGTTTTAATTATTATTTTTAATTTTTAAAATTTATTTACTTTTTCATATTCAAGATGTCCATATTAGAGAATCCATGTCCTTAAAAATTAAGTCTTAAAATCCATCTCAAAATAGATTTAGTAAGAGTTCCGCATTTGCGAGATTGGCAACATAGAAACCGGATCCTTTATTTAAGGACACGGTTTCTAATTCCACGAATATATATAGAAGTGAGTCACCACTTAAAAATCTATTTTTGAGATGGATTTTTTTACTTCATTTTTAAGCACATGTAATCTCAAACATGGAGATCATAAATACAAAAAAAAAAAAAATTTAAAAATTAGAAAAACAATTCGCATCCATCTTTAAGATGGATGCTTTATACCTTAGGACCGAATATTGTAGGCATGCATTCCTGCCCCCATGAAACAATTTCCTTTATTTAAGGGGACACGATTTCTATGAGTCCACATACTCACATGTAGAAATGCAAGCCCCTTAATAATTTATTTTTTAAATATAATTTGATTCTAATTTTCATGAAATATATAATCTTTAACATGGAGATTATTAATCTGTAAAAATAAAGAAATTTTAAAAACTAGAAATAATACTTTTTGGAGAAAATATTTGAACAGTTGATTTTACTTTTTTTTTGGAGTACTATTATTTATGGAGACCCAGTTTTGGTGGAAGGTGTAGATCTTCAAGCCCGCATGGTAACATGGGGGCTTGGATGCACCAAACATTTTGCCTCAAAAAACGATCCTTTCCTAAAAGGGTGTGGTTTGTATAAGGCAGAGACCATAACAATCAAAATAAGGCATATTTTTTAAATATACAGAAATACGTTGTTTCAGTATTACAAAATTTTATGATTTTCTAAAAATTTATTTTCATCTCTATTTATAAAATTTAAAGATTCAAAAAATAAGATCAAGCAAATCCATGAATACTTGAAAATCTTGAAAACTGACAGTCTAGATAATACATTACAAAATACACTATTTCCAAGACTAGAAATCTATTTTTTCTCATGTCCATACATATTGAGGTTGAGATGATCGAATTGAGAGTTTTTCATTATCAAAACAACCTCTTCTAGTGAATTAATGAGGTATGCCTTAATTTGAATTTTTAAGGCCCGTCCCTTATATAAATTCTTTTCCTTTTTATAATGAATTATCTCAAAAATTTTCATCTTAGTTATGGTTCTTAAATGTGAAAAAATAAAATAAAGTTCTAAAATTTAAAAAGTATTCTTTTAAGAATTTTTTTGGACAATTTATTTGGATGTCTTCTTTTTAAACATGGGTGTGGTTTGTATAAGGTTGTAACCTTAAACAATCCAATTAAGGCACACCTCCAAATTCTATCATAATATGGAATTTTGGAAAAAATATTCTTAGAATTATCTTAAAATCTATTATTGTATCAATTATAAAATTTTAAACTCCAAAACTGGTTAAAATCAAGTAAATATGTAAATATATGAAAACTCTTAAAAGTGAACGGTCTAGATAATATATTGCAAGATGCACTATTTCTAGTACTCAAAATCTTTTTGTTTTCTATATTCATACATGTCGATGTCTAGATGATCAATTGGAGGTTTTATTCAACAGTAAAACAACTTTTTCGATGGATTTTAGAGGTGCATACGTAGTTCTACATTTTAAAGGTTGCAACCTTATACAAACTTGTTCCTTTAAACATAGCCCCTGACTCGCGATAAACTTTTTCTTTTATAAGAGGGTGTAGTTCATATAAACATCCATTTTTCACATATCTCTTCGAAACTCAACGGGAGTATGGTATAGGGTTGCAAACCCACATGATGGCCTCTAATTTTATTATTTTTTAATTATTTATATAT